GAAAAAGATTACTCTCACTTGTTCATAAACTCCTGGTGGCAGTATCATACCTGATAATAAAACTGAGGTTTTTTAAAATGACTCCATCAATTTACTGGATTCGTTAAAGCCCTAGAGACTGTGTAACATACTTCTTATGAAATTGCATCTTTATCTTAATAGCAAACTTAGTGCTTTTATCTCAGGTGCTCCAAGCTGTACATATAAAGACGAAGTCCAAAATTCCCTTATAAGCTATGAACTTTTTCCCTGTAATCAATTTGACTATAATAGGATAGTAGCCAACATTTCATCTTCTCAGCCATCTACTCACAGCCTTTGTATAGTCAATACCTCAATGTAGGAATCACTTGAATTGTACCTGTAAGAACATTTCTTGGGAGATATGGCTTCAGTAGCTCCTCTACTGGTTTGCTGTCACTAACTTGCCCATGTGGGTTTATTGTTTGTATTTGAATTATTGCAGAGCCCTTGTTTGGAGTTATTGAAGGCGTGAGTGCTGGTCTGTTTTTAATTGGTATGCTGGTGGCTCTTGTTGCCTTATTCATCTGTAGACAGAAGGCAAGGTAAGTGCAACGATCCCTCTGGTGATTTGGCCCACAACTGTAGAGATGCAGCTGAAAGTGCCCTTTAGTCTAAATATTAAAAGGGGAAATTAATTTAATTTCTATAGGTTTGATCACCATTGCTCCCTCAGTAAAAGCCAAAATCACACTAAAACAGTAACTCACTTTTTTCAGCTCTCCTATATACTATTGATGAATTTGGCCCTTTCTACTGAGACTCCATCAATAGCTTTATTTGAACGTGTAATTACTCTTTTTGTAAAAAAAAAAATATATTTTTTTTGTTGGATCATGACCCCATGAGGACAGAGGTGTTTGCAAATTGTATGCCTGAGGGCATTTTTGAAATATTCTGAAAAGTATGTGACGTCACCATTGGGGCTCATATCTACTATTCTGATTTTAAAAGGAACTAAAAAGAACCAGAAAGCATGTGGACCCAATGCCATGCTCTCTTTTTTCAGTGGATTTTTTTGGGTGGGGGAACAGGAGACACTTCATTTTCTCTCTTGCAGTCATGTCTGGCATGGGAGCTTTACTGGTTTGGCAGATTTTTTTAAAGGAAAGTTTTATTGAGAGTGTGGGAAGTGATTATGACCCATAGCCAAAAACCAAGAGACAAATCTTCAGTTAGTATAGAGATTTGTTTCTGAGTGAGAAAGATTACTTTTTTATGTTCTTCCTCTCCTTTTCTTCCTTCAAAGAGATGTTGGCTGAGTGCAATGAATACTGAAAAATCCATATTTGCACATACATGCAAAGCCTTACCATAAATGTACAAATTTGTTCAAACCAAGCATCATAATTAGAATAAAAATCCTCTGCCTTATGTTTCAGCCATGGTCGAGAAAGGCCTTCTGCCCGCCTGAGCATTCGTAGGGATCGGCCATTATCTGTCCACTTGAATCTGGGCCAGAAAGGGTAAGTGCTATGTTTTCCATCATTTAATTTATTGGAAGATAGTATTATGTGAGATTTTCTAATGTGGTCTTTCTTTGTCTTTTGGCTCCTTCACAGTAACCGGAAAACTTCTTGGTAAGACAAAATTCATTAGTTACTATATTGTCTGCTTTTGAAATATGACTCACACTGACTATGGCATATTCCCTTTTTTCAGTAACTTTCTTTTCCTTTTGTTTCATTTTTAATTACAGCCCCATAAAAGTAAATCAATTTGAAGGGCATTTCATGAAACTGCAGGCTGACTCCAACTACCTTCTATCCAAGGAATATGAGGTACAACTGAGGCAATGAAACTTTAGCACCTCCTATTCTTAGCAGAATTTCCCTCCTCACTTTACTGTGGAATCATAGAATGATGCTTAGGGTCTCAGCTGAGACCATTCCCTGTACAATATACCACCTAATCTCAGAGGCCAGTTTAAGCTCCAGAGTAGCACAGGGCACAAAGTGCTGCTGGATCAGATGGCAAGAAAGAATTAACAGATTTCAGCTGCAAAACTAATCCTGTCAGTTATTCAGCCTGGTCATTTGCTTAACTGGGAAAAAATGTGGTTTGGTAAAAAGCGCCCACGTTTTGGATGTGACTCCCAGTTTTGCCACTTGTGTGACCTAGAGCACATCAGTTATCCTGTCTAAACCTCATCTGGAAGACAATGATAAGAGCATCTCTCCTGTGAGTCTGTGGAAGGGATGAGAGCTCATGCATGGGGATACTAGGTATTCCATAAGCAGGAGCTTGGGTGCCTATCTTTATATTATTCTGTATCTCAAGGACTGTATACTTTGCTTTATTCTATGTCATGTTCTCCACTTACAAACTTTTTTTAAACCTAATAGGACTTAAAAGATGTTGGTCGAAACCAGTCATGTGACATTGCACTCTTGCCAGAGAATAGAGGGAAAAATCGATACAACAATATATTGCCCTGTAAGTTTCCTATGGAAATTTGCAACACTGTTTTCCTCTAGCCATTTCTGCTTATTTTCCAGGAACAAAAGGGGCTAAAGAAATGTTATAACAAAAATTATGTATCTATAGAACAGCTGATAATATGGAAGACCTCAGGCTCTAAATGATTTGAACAAAGAATGACTTCTCTCCAAAAGGAAAACAGCCAGTTATGATTATGAGAGGGCTCATGCCGTTAACATTTCCCCGTGTGGTCCCACTGCTTCTCCATGGAGGCAGGGTTAACAGTGGGGCTCTGACATCTGCATTTGCTTAGCAAAATCTCCAATTTGTGTTTTTTCTTCTGGTGGTACTGAGGTTTGAACTCAGGGCTTTGTGCTTATGAGGCAGGCACTCTGCCACTTGAGCCATGCCTGCAGCCCTTTTTTGCTTTGGTTATTTTGGAGATAGGATCTCACTTTTTGCTCAGGCCTTCCTGGACTGCAATCCTATTTTACACTTCTTGCTGCCATAGCTGGAATGACAGGTGTGCACAATCATGACCACCTTTTTTCTGTTGAGATGAAGTCTCACAAATTTTTTTGCTCTCACTGGCTGGCCAGCCAAAGAAGACGGAGAAGGACTAGGAGGAGGAAAACAGCCAGTTTTCCTCTCAGTCTCCTTCTGCTGCCTAACTGGGATGATAGGTGCACACCACCATGCACAACTGTTTGTTGAGATGGGGTCTCTCGAACTTTTTTGCCAGGGGGCTGGCCTTGAAACATGATCCTCCTGATCTCAGCCTCCCAAGTAGCTAGGATTTCAAGCATGAGACACTGGTTAGTTAGCAATTTTTTAAAAAGTCATTCTTATCCCATTACATAAAACAAAAGGAGGTATTTTTTTCTGGCTTGTTTTCATCCCAGCAGTGAGAGCAAGCTGGTCACTGCACCAAGCAAGTGTCATGATGATGTCGCAAAGGAAAATACAGATGGGGCTTCACATCCGTTTGCTGGGTCTGATTGTTTGTGTGCAACCTGGGCAATTTAGTTGTCCTGTCTGCACTTCATCTGTAAAATGGAGATAAGAACACCTCCCTTGAGGCTGTTATGGGACTCAGAGATAAGGCATATCAAATACTACACATTATATAAACAGAAAACTCACCCAAGATACAGCAACAAGCCTCTTAATAAACTTCCTTCCAGATGATGCCTCTCGAGTCAAGCTGTCAAATGTAGATGATGACCCTTGCTCTGACTACATCAATGCCAGCTACATCCCGGTAAGTGAACTACCAGGTTACATGCTGAAAGTCACGGGAGGAAGTATCAATGGTGGCTACACTGGAGATAGCCCTCCTTCTGCATGTTCCCACTGTTCTCAGTCTGGAAAAATTTGCAGATTTTAGAAGACCACATCTGATTGCCATAAAATGTAGGGTATTTGATTCAATCACTGCTAAGCCCCATTTTTCACAATGGCTGTGGTCACATGTAGTCATCATGACCCCAGGATACAATTTCAAGGGTTGCTTTCTTTCTGTGGCCCTTAGACAAGATTAGAACTCCCTAAGGAACATGGCCTCCACTGGTGAGACTGAGAGACAGGGAATTCAATCTCATATTGTTTGAATTTTTGAAAATGGCAGGTGCCTCTCAAAGATTGTGCCAGTCCTTTGGGCTCTGATTTGGCTTGCAGTTTACCGGCTTCCTACAGCACAGTGGAAGCTTTAAGGGTGAGATACATCCAGGTTTGAATCCCACTTCTTCCCCTTGACCAAGGGCAAGTTATGTCTTCTCTTTGGGCCTCCAGTTCTTTTTCTAAAAACTTAGAATAATAATAATTACCTTAAATAATCACCCATTTACTTAATAAATCCCCATTAGTTAAGTGCTAACTATAAGTCAAACACTAGCTGTGTACATGGAGCCTGATTCTAAAGGAACTCTCAGGACAATGAAGATATTAGGAAATTACAAGGCAATACCATGAGCAACTTGCCAGAGCAGTGCTTTTCCAGTATTAACAGATATCAGCATTACCTGAGGATCTTGTTAAAATGCAGGTTCTGATTCATCAGCAATATGGTGGGACCTAGGAGTCTGCATTTCCAGTGTGCCCGTGTGAGCCCATTGCTGCCAATCTGAAGACCACACTCTGAGTGGCAAGAGGCAAGAGACTGCCAGGGAGCATTGAGAAGGAGAATATCACACAATGGAGAGAAAGACACAAGAAGCCCCAGCCTAGCAGTCAATATGCTAAAGATAAATAGGACTAACCCGTTAAGAGGCAGTGCTTAGGTGGTTAGGGATTGTGGGTGGCAGAGGTGATATAATGTAGAATCCCCAAGGATTGCAAGTAATTCTGCATTACTGAAGTGCAGAATGAGTGGGTGGATTAAATCAGCTCTTTACATGTTGACCCACTGCACATTGCATGGTAGAAGCTCAAGTTGCTCAAGGAACAATGACTTCTTTTTCATTAGACTTCCCTTCCATGATATCTCTCATCAAATTATTCTGATGTCAACCATCCAAAATGACCAAAAGTCAGTCCTTCAAATAGTCCACACACACAACCACATAATTGAGGATGAAATGTTTTCCATATAATTGCTTGAGTTCTCCATTTGTCTTTTAGAATAGATCCAGACTGATAAGATCCAGGCTCTTACCAAGAGCTCAGTGTTCTGGCCTTTGTCCTTCCTGCTCCTAAGACTTGACACTTGCGTTAATGTCTTTTTCCTCAAGTCCAGGGCCTGTCAGGAGACCTCCATATCATATCATCTGCAGAGCTAACTCTTTGTTTACAGTTATGAAGAGGTCCATTGTTTCTGACTCTTCGTATTGTAAATTCATCTCAGGGTAACAACTTCAGAAGAGAATACATAGCTACTCAGGGACCGCTTCCTGGCACTAAGGATGACTTCTGGAAAATGGCGTGGGAACAGAATGTTCACAACATTGTCATGGTGACCCAATGTGTTGAGAAGGGCCGTGTGAGTAAACAGCCTTCCTAAATTCCTAGCTTTGCTTTCTGCCATCTAGATGGAATTCTAACCCCCACCCCCATCCAAAGTTACACCCATAAAACCAAGTAGAAATCATGTGAGAATGTCATTAGTGAATTAAGCTTCTCTGCTATAAAAAAGCTCCAACAGAAACTCCAGGTGAGCCCTCATTCTGGTTCTGGGTGTGCAGTTTCAGTCAAAGCTGTTTCCATGTTAGGACTGGGATGATCAGCAGTATTCATTAGACAGAAAGAGTACCTGCCACTCTGCTCCATCCTCCAGGGTGCAACAGAGAGAGTCCCTGCTGGAGTCAAGGGCCTGTCCCTGCTCTCAGGAAAGAAGTGAATTTTAGACTGTGTGGGCAGACATAAAGTAAACTGGTTATCTGGACAAATTACAAACCTCTTGTAATGCATTTGCAGTCTTCTACTTTATATGGTTACTTTTAGGATTAAAGGAGAGATTACATGTAAAGCATTCCATAATTAGATGTTGCATTTTCAGATGTCTCTTCAGTCATTCATGCTAAACTGAAACCTGTATATCCTTCTCTGCATGACTAGCCTTATTTGATAAATATGTACACATATAGACATGTGTAACTATATGAATTAAAGAAACAACTAGAAATATCTACATTACCATATAAATGTTTCATAAAACATAGAAATTTATACTGTAACTCTATCTGCCCACCAGGGGTGCCTTATCATACTCAATACAATAAAAGCCACTTGTACCGTATTTGATACACATATTTACATATGCAAACAAATATATACTTATATCTGTAACTATCCACATTTTATGAAAAGCATATCAATTTATAATTAAATGTATAAATACCCCAAAACAAAGTAAAGTTCACAATACCCTCTCCTTTGTCTGTACATGTAAAGACAAGTTTTGCTACACATTCTGACTTCTCAAAGATCTCTTTGGCCCGTGGCCCAGTTTAGGATAGCAATAGAAAATGTGACCAAAACAGGTCCAGAAAGACAACACCTTCCTCTGCCTAGCTACATCTTTCTTCAGAAGGAACAAGAAATTCTCCCTGCCTTTTTTGTTTTGTTTTGGTTTGGTTGGTTTGGTTTGCAGTGCTAGGGATCAAAACGTGGGTCCTTGAGCATACTAGGCAGTCACTCTACCATTGAGCTATACCCCCAGCCTAAGAACAAAATATTTTAAGTCTGGTTTATCTGATATTGGAATGCTGAGGAAATTAATTCAGGCATGTTAACATCAGGCATGTTAACACTATGCTTGAAAGATGAATGAATCCAAAGGTTGAGGGTAGGATCTGTTTTTTGTACAGTGTCTCCCTGTACCTTGGAGTATAGCCTAGCTTTGGCACTGGCCATGAACAGGTTAATAGAAAATAGATGGTTAAGTTGCTTTAGCAGCTGATCCTGGATTCCTAACTCAGGAGGGGACTTCAACGAGGGAAACTCCAGGTTCTCATAGAAGTCATGCTTCCAGACTCACTTTTTTTCCCTATCTGTCCTCTTGTAGGTAAAATGTGACCATTACTGGCCAGCGGACCAGGACTCCCTCTATTATGGGGACCTCATCCTGCAGATGCTGTCAGAGTCAGTGCTGCCTGAGTGGACCATCAGGGAGTTTAAGATATGCAGTGTATGTTAATTTGCTTGACTTAATTACCCAAAAACATGGCAAACAGAGCTCTGCAAAACCTAGTTTTGCTCTTTTCTTTTTCCTATAGTTTCAACCCAAAGAAATTCTTGTGTAGCATAGTTGTCAAATTTGAGTGTAGCTTGGCTTGTTTCTCTTCTTATTCCACTCTCTGTTCTTACAGGAGGAGCAGCTCGATGCACATAAACTCATCCGTCACTTTCACTACACAGTGTGGCCAGACCACGGAGTCCCTGAGGCCACTCAGTCCCTAATCCAGTTTGTAAGAACAGTCAGGGACTACATCAATAGAACTCCAAGTGTCGGGCCCACTGTGGTGCACTGCAGGTAGGTATGTAGCATTCTAAGAGAAAGTAAAATGGCACCCATAAGAGGATTGTACCCCACCCCCAGAGTCTGAGAAAGGCAGAAAATATGGGGAATGTGCAGTTGGAAGATTTCTCTGGGCCAATCAGCCTTCTTAGCCCACAGAGGATTTTCTTATATTATTCTCACTTCTGCTCTCCAATCTCACTACTCCTCTTCAATGACTTCTTTCCACTTTCTTCACCTCCCACTTCTCTCTCCCTCTCCCTCTCTATTCTTTTTTTTTCTCTCTCTCTCTCTCTCATTCTTTTTTCAACTGTAGGAAATGCAAAATCCTTAAGTGACTTCAATGTCTTCCAGTTTCTCAACAAATTCCCTCCCACTAAGGTGACTGCACTAGCTGATTCTTAACTCCTGCCATCCTTACTCCTTGAGATGGCTTTCTCTCTCTCTCTTCCACCTTGAAGAGTCCTGTTATATATTTTCCTCCAGGTCTAGTAACATGTCTTTGTTGTGCTGTAATAACAAAATGCCATGGACTGTGTAATTTGTACACAGTAGAAATCTGTTTCTCACAATTCTGGGAGCTGGGAAATCCAAGATTAAGGCATTAACAGATTCCATGTCTTTTGAGGGCCTCATCTCTGCTTCCAAGATGGTGCCTTACAGTGCATCCTCCAGAGGAGAAAGAGGAGGAAGACTGAGTCTCCATAAGGATTGAGGAATGGCAAGACATTCCCTGCCCCTGCCCATTTTTTTTTTTTTAGATTTTTGAGACAGAATCTCACTGTGTAGCCCAAGCCAACCACTCTCTACATTACCCAGTCTAGCCTCAAGCTTTCATCCTCCTTCCTTCACCACAGCATAGCACTTGCTCTAAAATTTCTGTTCTTTCTTGACTTTTGTTTACTTCAGACCATCTGTCCATAATATCAACCTAACAAGCTATCTTTCTCTCCCTGGGGAGCCTGGTGTTTAGGTAATTAATGTTTGCAGCAACACTTTGATAGCCCTAACTGAATGGCACTAATAACTAAAGAGCTGAGAATCGCTACAGTAAGAGAAATGTCAAGCTCTCTAATTTTCTCCCAATCGGCCCCACACCCTAGGAGCCTTGCTTTTATATGTCATTGGAACCCCAATGCTTTTAATGGGAATGCAAGACATTTGAGAGCTTTTTGCTTTCTGAAGAATGGCAGGCATTTTTGCCCAGGAGTACTGGAGAACTATTCTTTATCTTATAAATTTGTGTGTGCATCATAAACCTGACTAATAAGCAGAGAGATTCTACAAAGAATAATGATATTTATTTGGGAATAGCAGAACATTACAGTAGAAATATGTGTATCATTGTAAACAATGGGTATATTCAAAGAGGTTGAGGTGAGGACAAGTTCTTAAGGGAGAAATTAACATATACAACTTGAGTTAGGGGTTGCTGTCAAATCATTGGTGGAGGTACCATTGCCAGGCAAGAGTTAAGTGGAGAGCATCTTATCTGAATTGCAAGTCTTAAATAATGTTGGAGATAACCTGTGTTACAGAAATCTGTGCATATGTGCAAGGTCTGCAAAGAATGGGGTGCATGTAGAATGACAAGGATTTCTTTTTGGCTTTAGAAATTCCTTGAGAAAGTGCTTATCACATATAGGCAGGCCTGAGTTCTCCCCCTCAATAACTTCCCAGCTCTAATTTCATCTAAGTTGGATAAGGACAGTTTCATCTTGGTATCAAAACCTGCACAAAATCAAAAAACCACCTTGGGAAGCAATACGGAAATCCCTAACAAAAGTATTGATACTCTATTACCAACCTAGCAGTTCTGCTTCTAGTTGTCAGTCCCTGAAAAATTGCTACACACATGCACAATAATGTTTATTACAACACATTTTTATAGAGGAAAAGCCAAAATTGATCTCATTATCTGCAGTATAGAATGGAGTAGCAAGGATTTCTGAACTCTATAAAATGTTAAAAGAAATTAGATCTAAACCAGACGTGGTGGCATATGCCTGTAATCCCAACATTCAAGAGACTGAGTCAGGAGGGTCATGCGTTGGAGGCCAACCTGAACTACATAATGAAACCTGTCTCAAAACAAAGCAAAAAACCAACAACAACAAAAAGGAAATTAAATCTACCTGTAACGTGGATAAATCTCAAAACACAGCATTGAATAAAAAAGTTGGCAAAAGAATACATGAAATGTGCCAGCACTTCAGTAAATTTATGTAACATATAAAATAAATGTACTGCTTATGGATTTACATATATGTAGGAAAAGTATGAAGCCATGAGTGGACATGACACACACCAAGTGCAAAGCAGTACTTATCTTTGTTGAGATGGGGAATGGGGAGGAAGGATGGAGAAAGAGGTGGACCACAGGGACTCTAAGTTATATTTCTTTAGGAGAGAGGGCACATTAACAGAAAGCAATTTTCCCTTAACTTGGAAGAGAAAAAGAAAGATTGTGTCTCAGTCTCTGAATGCAATCTTGAAAGGCAAATTTAATAAAAAGGCTCAATTTTCCTTCACCATCTCTTCTAGTGCTGGTGTGGGTAGAACTGGAACCTTTATTGCATTGGACCGAATCCTTCAACAATTAGACTCCAAAGACTCTGTGGACATTTATGGAGCAGTGCACGACCTAAGACTTCACAGGGTTCACATGGTCCAGACTGAGGTAAGAATTACAGGCTGAAAGACACAACCACCTTTTCCCCTCACCAATGAAAACATCCAGGGCTCTAACCTGAGAAGCAGACATAACCATGACAACTTAGGAAGAATAAGAGAGAACTGAATATAAATATTTTCTAGGGCTTGATGTTTTGAAGCAAAGCTCAGTGACCTTGAAGATGATATATACCCTTATCTTTACTGAGCTGGTTTCTCAGTTCAGGAAAGAATTAATTTGAGTGGGCAGGCAGAAAGATGGGGGGTGGGGTTGATTATATGCATTACACATGAGGGAGTAGCTAAGACAGCCCAGCCTGATGCTCATTTCAAGATATGCATGGTGGATGAGCACAAGGATTGCAATTAGTAAAGAGAAAGATGAAAATTTCTTCTCTCCCCTAGCCCCACCCCTCCCATCAGCACCCCTATCTCTGGAGACACCATGGGCTATATGTCAATTGTGATGGCTAAATGTTTCCATTTGTACAGCCCTTTGACATTTGCAGATCATTTTTGAACATGTAATCTCATTAAATTTTCATAACCAAGTAAGAAGGGTATTATATTTCATTTCCAGGATAGAAAACTGAAGTCCAGAGGCTAAAGGGCTTTCACAAAGCCTATACCCAGGGTATGGCCAAGCTGACTTGGACTCTGTGCTAGAAAATCTAGAGTACCAAGCCCACTTCCCCACAGCCTCAGGGTCAGATCTGTACACCCAGTATACTCCAAGCACATCTCTCCTTTTTTTTTTTATTTCTTTTATTCAGATGTGTATACAATGTTTGGGTCATTTCTCCCCGCTTCCCCCTGCCCCCTCCCTTTCTCCCCCTATCCCCTTTGCTTCCAGGCAGAAACTGTTTTGCCTTTATCTCTAATTTTGTTGAAGAGAGAGCATAAACATTGATAAGGAGGACCAAGGGTTTTTGCTAGTTGAGATAAGGATAGCTATACAGGGAGATTCCTTGCATTGCTTCACATCTCTCTCCTGCATAAACGTCTTCCAAGGCTCAGGTTCTCTTATCCTCTGTTTTTGCCCAAGTAACTGCAAAATCTTCAGTGTAATAACAATTAAAAATAAAAAATTCTATGGGTGAAAAGTTCCACACACTACCACAATCTGTCTTAGAGTTACAGTAGACATGGAAACTGCACAGGCAGCAGTGTTCCACACAACAGGGACAATAAACTCTCTTTTTGAGTATCGAGTCCACTATTCCCCAAAGCAGTTTGTCCCCTGAATTCTTTTCTTGTTCCACACATACTAATATCCTACAAAACTCACATTCAGGAGCTCTTCTGGCAAAAGACTGGTGTCATTGCCTTGGGCAGGCGGCACCCACTCCCCAGACTCTGCTATCACCATGGTCCTGGGCTGGCAGCACTTTTGTTATAACAATTTGCCCACCATATTTTGAAAACTTTATTATGAAATTGTTTAAAAGTGTACAAAACTGAGGCTGGGAGTGGTAGAGTACTTGTCTAGCAGGTGCAAAGCCCACCACCACCAATAAAAGAAAAAAAGTAGTACACAAAACCAGAGAAACAGGACAAGGAATTTTCATGTATTCAAACTGGCTTCTACAATTGTGAGTGTTCTGTGTTCTTGCTTCATCTATAGCACATATACACTGTTCCCCTATCCCATGACCCCACTGGAATATTTCAAAGCAAACCTTACTTACCATATTTTTCATTCTTGAATAAATACTTATTTCAGGTTGTGTGTGTATGTGTGTGTGTGTGTGTGTGTGTGTGTCTGTGTGTATGTGTATGTGTGTATGTGTGTGAGTGTGAGTGTGTGTGTAGGTGTGTGTATGTGTGTGTGTATGTGTGTGAGTGTGTGTGTGTGTGAGTGTGAGTGTGTGTGTAGGTGTGTGTGTGTGTAGGTGTGTGAGTGTGGTGTGTGTATGTGTATGTGTATGTGTGTGTATGTGTGTGTATGTGTGTGAGTGTGAGTGTGTGTGTAGGTGTGTGTGTGTAGGTGTATGTGTGTGTAGGTGTGTAGGTGTGTGTGTGTGTGTGTGTGTAGGTGTGTATGTATGTGTGTGAGTGTGTATGTGTGTGTGTGTTTAGACTCTAAAACCATGACCACCATACCATTTGTCACATGCAAAAATTTAGCTAAAATTCATAAATATCATTTAGTATCCAATCAGTGTTTAAACACCCCTATTTGTCTTTTTTAAAATTACTTTTTATTTTTAAAAAGGCTGCAACTAGTTTTCATTAGAATCTAGACAAAGTCCCTATGTTTTAATTTGGTTGAAGAATCTTTGAAATCTCTTTTAGCCTATAATTATCCCCTTCCCATTTGTTTTCCATGCCATTTATTTATCAAAGAAACCAGCTCCATTGCTCCTTAGATGTTCCTGTGTTCTAGATGTGGCTGATTGCTTTTTCATGATGGTGAAGTGTCCCTCTGTTCTTCTTGGTTCCTGTCAGCTGATCACTAGATCCAGAGGCCTGATTAAACTCGTTTTATCATTATGGTGCTTTGTGGTGGTGCTGAGGAGTTCCTGTTGTATCCCATCAAGAGGCAAAGCACCATGTGCAAGCTTTTGTCAGGACAGAACAAATATATTAACAGTGGGTTCCAGGGGACAGCAGCCTGAACCATCCATTATCAGAGTCCACACTAACCTTTTACTTAATGGCTTTAGTAGCCATTGATGATCGCTGTCAGCTCTGTTATTTTGTGAATGGTTACAGAATTCTGTCACCCCATATCATAACTGTAATCCTTCAGCTTTCTAGAGTATGAGTTCCTAGAGAGTAGGAACTTGTTTTCCTTCTCTGTATCAATTTTTAGTCTATTAATTGAACAATTTTGTTAAAATTATGTTGCTTAAAAAGTAAACATTGGTATTTCATTAATAGTTTATTGTCACTTCCACAAACTCAGTCATAATTAATTTGTAATTTGGGAAAAAGAAGCTATCACATTGTAAGAAGTCTTGAGCTGTGTGTGTGTGTGTGTGTGTGTGTGTGTTCTGGCTTCCTAGTTAGTGTCACAGACTCCTTGGGCCCTCATCTATCACTTCCATACACCTGTCCACAGTGCTGAAGTTGCATTTTGGCAAGAAGCAGGAATTCTATTGCAAATATTAGTGGCTGACTTTCAGAACAAAGGCAACAGAGTGTGCCACATCTCCTCCTTGTCCTTAAAAACAACTTCTTTTTTTCCCCGTGTTCTCTTCTCCTTTCACTTCTCTTGGGATTCTGTTTGTTCTTCAACTTGCCTTCTCAATATTTGAGTTCCCAAAGGTTCTGTCCTCCGGACCTGGCTCTAATTTCTCTAGATCTTTTATTTTGTGCTGTCCTCCTCACACACCATGGTTTCAAGAACTGTGTACCTGCTTCTGTTTCCCAGATCTAATTCTCCTTCCCTAGCATTTACCTAGGTACTTGCCTGCCGGATAGCTCCCCACACAGGCTTTATAGTTACCTCATACTCAAAATGCTCAACACCAACTCATTATCTTTCTTTAAAAAAAAAAATAAAATAAAAACAAAAGCACTCTTGCTCTTGCATCTTTCAATTTCCATTGAGAGTGTGGCTATCCATGTTTCTGTCAAGTCAGGGAGCCGACTTCTTTCCAGTTTCCACATCCAAGCAGTCATGAAGTCCTGTCACTTCCACCCTACATCTTTCTCTTTATTCTAGTTCCTCTCTCTTGTTCATCCCTTTTTCTTGGTCAAACCAAATCCTAACTGATATTAGATATTACTTGTCTTGCTTCAGCCCTCTGCCAAAGCTGGACATTTTCTACAGTCTCAGAATCCCTGGCCCCAAATCTAGCCTGACGTTTTGGATAATGGCAGTAGTGCAGACAGGTGTAGTTCACAGCCAAGACCCTACAGATGACATCCAGCAAAGGAGAAAGGCCATTCTGAGTCCTCGGGTTACTTTTCTGGGTCTATAGTAGCAGTTGATCTCAACCTTTTCAATCTTGGGGATTTGTGATACAAAGCAATGCAGGTCATCAAAATTTCTGAATATATCAAGCAGTGAGGATTTCTAAAAAAAGAGGCATTGGATGGGATTTGCCAACCATTCCTCCTTTTAGCCTGCCTTGGGACAAATTTGCAGCCTGACTGTGAGAGAGACCCTCAGATAGAGCAGTAACTTATTAAAGAACAACAAGTGATGATCACAGTTTGTCAACAGCATCTGCTTCTGATGAGAAGAGACCTGGGATGTGGCAGGACTAAGCGTCTCAGGTCCTACCAGTGGATTGTCCTGGGAGAGTCCCGTGACCCCTGCAATCCACATTTTGGCTTTTTTTTTTTTCATTTTTCTTTTATTATTCATATGTGCATACAAGGCTTGGTTCATTTCTACATTTTGGCTATCTATAGTTTCCTTATGTGCACTTCTGTTATTTCTATCACTTGGAATGCCCTGCTTTGTTCATAGTCTTACAAATGTCACCTTTTCTTTCTAGCTCAATACTTTCCTCCCCTAAAAGTGAACTGAAGATTTTCCTCTTCTAAATGAATCTTTATCCACAATTCTATTTTATGCTTATTATCTTCTAGACGTTTGTTCACAAGTCTGCCCTTCTCCTAAATTATGCACTCAGGAACTATGAAAAGCTACAATTAATAATAGAAATGCTATCTAATACTATAAATATTGGTGAAATTAAATGTATTAACACCAAGCCAAAGCTTCACTAATTAGGAAAAAAATGATCTTTCATGATTTGAAGGGGTTTTTTTCCTGCTTTTCATTAAGAATAAAGTGAGAAGCAAATTAATGATCTGGTGGTTTTAGTAGATTCTTTTTCTAAGGGATATTCTATTCACAAAGAATTGACATTTAAGACAAAGAAAATTAATGAATAGTTTCAAAGTCAATGGTGGATCATTGCTGAAGAATGTATTAATAAGCGATGGCATGGATTAATGGAGTTCATTCAGAGCTTACCTCTTAGGTTTCCAAATAATTTAATAGCCCAGTGCAATTAAAAATAGAAATTGTGCTTTGGATGAAAGGAAACAGCAAGGTGTTGATCTCTGATTTGGTGGATCATTTGAAGATGGCAAAAGAGACTGTTGTGCATTAACAACCATTCTCAGAATGGTACTCTTCTGAAGCAGGGCACATCTGTAATAACAGCACTCAGGAGGCAGAGGCAAGAGGATTGTGAGTTCCAGACTATCCTGGGCCACATGGTGAGCTCAAGGCCACTGTGGGCTGCCTACCAAGCTCTCAACAACAACAAAGAATAGTACTCTCCTCAAATTTTCAAGGTCGAGGTGGTAGAAGACACACATAACAAATGAGCAGGGTCTGTGAGCGGAAAAGCAAAGAATGGTTATTAATATTAGTGCAAGCCTCACTTATGATTAATTCAGTTTTTACAAATGTCCTAATTCCAGACCTACCTTATAAAGTCCCGAAGTGAGATGGCCAGACTAGTTTCCAATCAATGCCTAGTACAAGACCACAAAAATGCATTCTTGTCCACTTTGAAATATTGTTAGTAAGGGAAGATATTTTAGTCCAACTTAATATTTAAAACCTTTAAAATACTGCAAGGGTGCTGACATTGATTGCCTTAAACATGAGGTCCAGAAATGTTTCAATATCAATGTAACTGACATCAATACCAAGTCTTATATCCTTAAGTGGACAAGGGATGTTATATTTAGAAGAAACCCTGGACTCCTTATTTTATAGATAGGGAAACTGAGATCCTGAAAAGCCTCCAGGATTCAACCTAAGCCAGTCAGAGGCTGGCTAAGAGCCAGTCTCCCTCAGGTGGTGCTGTGTTCCCTCCCAACCTCCTCACTCTCCAGGGGCTGGCACTAACTGCATCATTAAGTAGAGCTGAAGGCCAAGCACCAAGGCTGCATAGACATCTACCCCAGAGAGCTCAGTTGGCAGTAAGTAAGGGAATCCAGTGCACAATTTGGACACTGTTGTCAGTGGAAGTCTTTGTGATGTCTTTATGGTCACCAAAGCACTGACTTTTCTATATTTGCTTATGTTTGCAAAGTAGCTAAGTCCCAAATAGATGGCAAGTAGATCTCTCCTAATAAGGAGTAACCCTGTATGGTTCCTGCAGTGAATCAACATCTTTGAGATTCTCCTGTGGTCCAGACTCAAATGCTGAGAGAACAGACTTAAAGCAGACACTGGCCTTGCACTCAAAGAACTGCCAGTCAATGGTCGTATTGTACTTTCACCATAGAAGAAGGGGAATGCAGAAGAGTATGCAGTGAGATGATTTTTCTCATCAGAAAATTGATGTAGTAAAAATATGAAATTTGACATTGCATTCCCAGAACTAAATCCTAGGGTCCCGTATTTTTAGCTGTGTAATTTTGGAGAAGTTAATGAACTTCTGATTCTCAGTTTATAGTGATGATTACATCTACTTCACAAGGGCACTGAAACCATGAAATGAGATAATTTATGTAATGTACATAACATGGTGTTTGGCATTCATTCAGTTTGTGAAGGATCTAGGCGTTCACAGTACATACTGTGTAAATAGGCATCACCTCAAAGGAATGAAGAAACACCTCTCTGTCCTTTACTATTCTTCTCCTTTTGGTGATAATTAAAAAAAAAAAGAACTCTTTTATGAACCAGAGACCATTAGTGAAGTGGTGATCAAAAAATTTGCTAGCTCTACAGAATCCCATTATTTCCATGTTTGTTTGTTTTTTTAAACCTTGTTTTTCTTCTCCTTGAGAGTAGGCTGGTCTCTGATACATTTTCTGTTTTTCCATAGTGTCAGTATGTATACCTACATCAGTGTGTGAGAGACGTTCTCAGAGCGAGAAAGTTACGGAACGAACAAGAAAACCCCTTGTTTCCAATCTACGAAAATGTGAATCCAGAGTATCACAGAGGTAGGATGTTACTTCACTAATGTTTAAGTTCCCTTTTCAAAATATGATCAATCTAGAAACCATTAATAACTTAAAGCTTTCAACGTACACCACCGGTTTCTTCTTCTACTCAGAAGAAGAGTGTGACCATGGGAAGGAGAGGCAGAGTTGGGAGGGGGCAGAGCAGTAATTCCACACCTTATCTCAGCAAATTTTCCCCCCAGTGCTGGGGATTGAATCCAGAGCCTCACACACAATAAATAAGCGCTTACCACTTAGCTATGTCCCCATCCCCTCCATGTGGAACCTCTACCTCTATAAAGGGTTATACTTAGCAGTTCTTTTCTAAGTCATGAGCTTCAACACTGGGGAGGATGTATAGAAATCACAACTGGGAATTCAAACTGTAAAATTGTTTTGGAGAAGAACCTGTCAATCAAGTTATCAGAGTGTTTGATGTGTTCTTATCTTGTGACCTAGTGTTTCTCCTACCACCCTAGTACACAAAAACTTTATGCAAAAAGCTTTTCACAGTTAAAAGTTTGAGTGAAAAACACTAACTGTTTAATTGTAAACTCTATTAGTCAGGTTTGCATTACCACAATGAAATATCTGAGGTGACTAATTTTATAAAGAGGAAAGGTTCATTTAGCTCATGGGTTTGGAGGTTCGAAGACATGGTGCTTGCCTTGGCTCAGTTCTGGTGAGGATCTCATGGTGAATAGTGGACAGCAGTCACAAGAGTGCTAGGAGCAAGTGGACACATTTTAAGCCAGGAGAAGAGACATCTGGGTAGGGCCACCTCAGGCTTTTGTAACAACCTTTGCATGTGAAGTGCCTAGTAGTCCCAGGAGACCTTGGTCTTCTGAGGGCACACCCCAGCAACACAATGACCTCCCACTAGGTCCTACCTCCCAAAGGTTCTGCCATGGCATTTCCAGCATTGCCACCTGCAAACCAAGCCTTCAATCACAATGGACCCTTTTCTACACAAACCATATTCAAACTACAGCAGGGACAAAGTATACCATAGTGCATTCACTTAATAGAGGATGAGGCAGTCATTAAGAATTTTTTTTAACTGGAGGAGTGGCTCAAGTGGTAGAGTTCCTGCTTTGCAAGCATGAATCCCTGAGTTCAAACCCCAGTCCCACCAAAAGAAAAAAAAAAAAAGAATTTTTTTTTTTAGATGTTGTCCAGGCTGCCCTTAAACTCCAGGTCTCAAGCATTCCAGTCTCCAGCATAGCTGGGACTACAAGCATATGCCACCACACCTGGCTCTAGAATGATATTTTTGAGGATATTATAATAATATGGATATTCTTATAAATAAGAATTCTTGGTCTATTTTGCATTGCTATAACAAAATAACTGAGATCAGGTACTTTAAAGACAAGAGACTTGGCCTAGAGATGTAGCTCAGTGGTAGAGCTCATGCTTAGCAGAAATGAGGTCTTGAATTCAATTACAAGTGAAAGAAAAAAAGGGAGGGAGGAAAGGAAAAAAGATTATTGTTGTTTTTTTTTGAACTCCCAAGGCCTCAAGTCCAGGATCAGGCAGACTCCATGCACTTGGACCTGGTGGGGCCCCATGACATGGCTGCATCACAACCTGACAATGGCATCACATGGCCAGGGTATGAGTGAAAGTGGAAGAGATCCACGGTGACAGAGGAAGCAAGAGGCCAGGCAGGGGCTAAGCTCACTCTTTTATCACATCTCTGAGAGACCAGCATTACTTCCTTCACAGGGCAGTCATAACGGGACACCTCCCACTATGCCCGCTTCTTAAAGAGTCCACGACCTTTCAATACCATTGCACTGAGGACCAGGCTTCCAGCACATGAACCTTTGGGTGCCACACCACATCTAAACTGTAGCATAAGTTAAGTAAGAAATATAGAAAGCAAGGCAAAAAACAGTGCATGGGAGAAAAGACTGGGACAACATATGTAGTCCAACAAATTCTCCAAAAAAATAGAAAAATATGTAATTTTCTTCTTCTATGTGATGTATTTTCTAGAGTAAGCATATAACATTTTTCAAATAAAAATTCAAGTAATAATTAATTGACAAGAGAAGAGTCTCCTTGCCTCTTGCTACACTGCATCATCATTAAGACCTAACTTTTAGACTAGGTATGGTGATATACTCCTATAATCCCATCTACTTTGGAAATCAGGAAAGTCTCAGTTTGAGGTTAGCCCAGGCCAAAAGTTAGGGAGACCCATCTCAACAAACAAGCTGAACGTGGTAGTGCACATCTGCAGTCTCAGCTATCTAGGAAGCATAGAAAGGAGCATTGCAGTCTAAGACTGACCCAGTGAGACACTACCTGAAATATTAACAATTGTAAAAAGAGCCGAGAGTGTGGCCCAATTGGTAGAACACTTACCTATAAATGTGAGGCCCTGAGTTCAAACCTAAGTACTGTCCAAAAAAAAAGGACCTAAATTATCAGATAAGCTAATTGCCAATGTGAAGACACTTTATATTATAGTTAACTATTCCTGCCTACCAGAGGCCTCAGTTTCTTGCCATGGGGACCAATAACTACCTTTAAATTCAATCATTTCCCTTTGATTAGTATTATTTCAGACCTATCTTGACCATTTCTAAATGATCTTCAATTGGAAATGTCTCAGACATTTCTTTTTGTTTTCTGTACTCTGTATACCCACCCACTTAGCCAGATGTTAAACAGTTAGTAACTTATAAGGCACAAATAGTGAGCTACTATTCAGAGGAGTCCTTTGTAAATCAGATAATCTTTTGTATTGTAAACAATTACTCCCTAATTTGTCTCTATAGCATATTAAGGTTTTTGCATGTCAGATTCTTTAAGAAGCTACAGGATGGAGGGAGCTCTGGAGGATTTTAGAGTTTCCTTTGTTTTGTTTTGAGTTATCTTCAGAGTCTTTTTTTAGAGTAATCTAGGACCAGCCTGAAAGAAGTTAAGGATGGGATAAAAAAAGTAACCTCCACCCTATAAGCGAGGATTCAGGTCTAGGTTGGGAACTAACTCCCATCTACAAGCTGTGTAAGCCTGAGTTGGTTACTCTGCCTCTCTGGGCCTGAGGTGTCATCTGTAAAATCAAAGCAAAGCATCCCTGGTCCCTTCCAAGTCTGTAATCCACATTTCTATGGAACGACTGGCCCCATAGAGATGTTCTCATCCTAAACCATATTGAGTTAGTGTCTCCCATTTGTAACTTACATAAACAGAACAACTATGATACACCCTGTTATAGTCTCTAATTACCTTGTCCTTCTTTTCAGATGCAGTCTATTCAAGGCATTAAGAATGTAGCCAAAGATTCCTGGATAAAAGTTTCTCACTGTGTGATTAAAAAAAAAAAAAAAACTTGCTTCATGCCCTGCAGAAGTGCCAGCTATTTCTGTTGATACTATGTATAATTTATTAATCTGGAGAATGTTAAAGAATTTATGTAATTTAAAGGTAACAGATATTATTGTACATAGTTGTATTTTGTAGTTTCTCCTGTAAATATGTATTTTTTCATAATGTTTAATATTAAGCTTTATATAATGCAATTTTTCCACACTAAAGTGTTCATGGCTTGTTCTACATAAATTAATTCAACTAGTATGACAGCACTACTAGCAAAACGTGTATGGAGGCCATTGTCATGTCCCTTGGCTTAGGTGCCTTACCTGTTTTGATATTCGCTGGACAGGGTAAAGGCAGAGTTAGAGAGAGCAGGTGTGTGTATCTTTGTAACATTGCTGACCTATCAGTCTTGAGATCCAGAGAGGATTCAGTCTCTATTAGAACAAATATAACAGTCAAAAAAAGAATTAGGTCTGGGGGCATACCTCAGTGGTAAAGTGCATGCTCAGCATGGGTTTGATCCCTACCATAAAAAAAAAAAAAGCAATAAAAGATTTGAGGGAAAGAGAAAAAAGATTAGACAGCACCAAAGTTGAGCTAAGTCATTGTCCCTAAACTAGTTGCTCCTCTTCCCTTTCTCCTTGCAGGGATTCAAGCCAAAGTGGTGAGCTCCAGGCCAGATGACTTGTAGTGCCAGCCTCAGCTGCAGGGTGAGGGATCCTGATAGAAAATGATGTAAACAGAAGTGTGTAATTCTGTGTATTAAGAATATCATTTGTACTCGGACTGGGAATAACATGCAGACACCATCAATAGTGATTAGTGACCGCTCTGCAGCATTCATAGTGTGGAATGGGAACTTGCAAACCTGTGCTGTGATACTAGCTTATGGACACATGCTAATCTGGTCTACATTCCTGGAAAAGTCACATTTGATGGTTTTCCCATCAAATGAAGATTATGGTGGTAGATTATGGTCCTAATCAAAGGATGGAATAACAAGATTTTCATCCAAATACATACATGGTGAATTAGAAAACAAACAATGGTAAAAACAAAAGCTTGGTGGTCCTTAGTGTAAAATTTTCCAAGATTTTTTGAGTAAGTCAATGAATTCAAAATGTCAGTTAATTACCTAAAGTTACGTTTCATACAAAAGACGTTATGCATTCTACCAAATTTATCTTCCATATTTGTGCCTTATTTTGACAATAAGGAAAAATTTGAAAAGTGTCTTCATGGTTACCTGAGAAAATGTCTTCACTTAGACATCATGTTTGTTGATCTCATGGCTTCATTTGCAGAAAAAATACATTTCTCTTCAAAGTATGTGTTTTTGCTACCTCCCAAAAAATTTCCACAAATAATGTAAGAGGTATAATTGGCATAGTAATTAAAAATCATTGACTGTACATAAAATTGTTTATAATTGCATAACTGTATACCAAATCTGGAAATCTTTCTGGGGTTATTTGCAGTTTAAGAAAGTAGAGGGACACTTTATAAGGATGGATATAAGGAGTAACAAGGATTCAAAGTTCTCACCTTTCCATTGTGCCATGACCTTGTGAAATGACAGTGTTAGGCTATGATTCTGTATCAGGATCTTCTAGAAATAAAAAGGAGCAACATGTATGTAACCCTAACAGCTGTGCCACCAAGGGGAAAATAGAGGTCAGAGATTTATGAAATGTGGTGTCTAGGAGAAATAACTTTCACCATACTAAACAGGGATGCAGTTCAGTGGTGGAGTGCTTGCCTAGAGTACATTAAGCTCTCAGTTCTATTTTCAGCATGGGAGGGGGTTACCTAGAGGAAAACAAAACACAATTTTGAACTGTTGTTGCTTAATGCAAAGCACATTGATAGCTGGAAAGACAAATTCATTTTCAGTTTTGCATTCATTCAGAAAGTGTTAGCAAGTGTACAACCTGCTAGGCACTGCTCCAGAATCTACATGCTTCTCCTATAAAGAGAATCCATGGTAATAACAAAGTTAGGATTGTTGTTACTGTTTTCCATTGAACTTGAAAGAGAGCTAAGGAGAGGGAATGAGATAACCAAGTTAGTCTAGCACAGTGGTCATCTTCTACCAGCCACTCACAAGCATGTGCTATACTGCTTCAGTATCAAACCACTGGATCCAGAAGAGAGTAATTAATTACACAAACCAGGAATTACCACACACACACACACACACACACACACACACACTCACTCACTCACACATACACACACACACTCACTCACATACCCAGTAACATCTGAGGTGGGACGAGAATTACAGAAGTGAACATGAGGAGAAAACCAAACATTCTTTGACTCTAATGCTGGAAGTATTGGTTCCTACTCTGCACCTAATTTTAAATCTCCTTAGCAACAAATATTTTGCTACTCCCTCTCTCCTAGGAAGAATAAAAAAACAAATAATCCAGTTGATCTATTTATTAAATTTAGCAGAGAGCTTGCCTAGTATGCACAAGGCCCTGGGTTTGATCCCAGGGCCACAAAATAAATAAATAAACTGGAGGGGGGTAGTTTCCCTGACACTCAGCTCAAGTGGATATATTTCCAACTAATTGCCTCATGTGGCTGTGCCTGAGTGAAACACTGCATTTCCTGTCTCAGTGAGCATCTTGTCTGTGCACCTGTGTGGTACACTTTAATCATCCATGCTTCAAAGGGCTTTTGAGTTATCAGATCTTCGGAGAGCTGTCTTGCATCTTAATAATTATTTATCCAAATTCCTTATAATTACCTCCTTTAATCTCATCTCATTAAATCAATTTTATATTACCATTCTGTTGTTTTCTGGAAAACAGCCAATTTTTCAGCTCATGAACCAGAGGCTCATTTCCCTGTCTGGGCTTGCACATATCTGTCCTAAGTAATTTCCTATCCATAATGCCTCTGAGTCCCACTGTTTCACCCCCTCCCTTACCACCCAATCCACCCCCGCCCTCTCCCTCCTACCCCCTCAATACCCAGCAGAAACTATTGTGCCCTTATTTCTAATTTTGTTGTAGAGAGAGTATAAGCCATAATAGGAAGGAACAAGGGTTTTTGCTGGTTGAGATAAGGATAGCTATACAGAGAGTTGACTCACATTGATTTCCTGTGCATGTGTGTTACCTTCTAGGTTAATTCTTTTTGATCTAACCTTTTCTCTAGTTCTTGGTCCCCTTTTCCTATTGGCCTCAGTTGCTTTTAAGGTATCTGCTTTAGTTTCTCTGTGTTAAGGGCAACAAATGCTTCTTGACCCTTCTGCCTATTGAATATATTTGCTTTGCCAGTTGAATATGATTCTATCTTCTGTTCATTTTATCTCCTCATCTTCATTGGTATAATTTCATAGGCTCTGCATTGTAGGAGAGATGACCATGACTTCATTTTAAATGCTAAAATGGCTACTGCGCAGAAGTTTAGGGTCAGTTTTATTTGGAAGGATCTTTAATTAATTTTGCTATTACCTCTTGAAAAAAATCTCCAAATGATATGAAAAAATAATATAAAACCATTCAGATGTCCAGCAATACAAAAATATGGCTCACATGTTGCACTTCACACTAATTCTCTCACCTTGGTGTCTACAGATCCAATTTCTTATGTTAAACACTCTCCCTACCCTTTGCAATAAAATTATTTGCTGTATACTAAATTCTCCTTCACTTGGCCTTATGGGAAGTAAGGTCGGAATCCTAAAATCCTGGAGCTACCAGATATGTGTGACGAGTATCTGAACCCCAGATCTGTGGTGTTTCAGAGTTTTAGTTCATACACATGGACTAGACCAATCCTGACGAGGAAAAAAGTGAATAGGTAATACGCTTCTCATTTGTGGTAGCAGTTCAGGGACTTTTTGGTTTGGTTTTATTGAGGAAATGAAAGTAATTGATCAGCAAGATGGAGTGGCATGAACAATTGAGTGGTCCTTCTTTGTGGCAGTGAGCAAGCTTTCAGCCCTGCAGCATTCCTGAAGAGTCAAAGTAGAAAGTGCCACATCTGCCCAAAAGCCCTGTTAAATTTCTGAGGCTCTCAAACCTGCAATAAGAAGTCATACCAGGTATTCAAAGAATGCTTCATGCCAAAGGAAACTTCAAACCATGACTGTAAAATCAGACAAAGAAGGAAAACTATTTGAAAAAAGGAATTGAACCACATCATTGGAAGATAAAATGGCATCTCTCTATTTTATCTTTTGTGGTTGTTAGTTTTGTTTCTTGAGACAGGGTCTTACTATATAGCCTAGGTTGATCTGGAGCTCTCTGAGTACTAAAATTAAAATGATGTCTCTTCTTTGTGGCCAGACTGTTTTTTGAAAATCTTGTCATATATTTCTATTTAGAAATACAAGCTGAGCATCCTTAATCCAAAAATCTGAAATCTGAAATGTTCCAAAATCTAAGATTTTTCAAGCACCCACATTTGTAACACAGTGGAAAGCTCTGCACCTGACCTTAATGTGACATGTTGGAATCAAAATGCAAGCACACTAAAACTATCATGTAAAATAACCATCCACCGTGTATATAAGGTACATATGAAACATAAATGAATTTCATGCTTTGACTTGGGCCTTATCGTCAAGATATCGCATTATATATATGCAAATATTCCAAATACAAAGCACAAACATTGATCCCAAGCATTTCAGATAAAGGATACTCAACCCGTGCTGCCCTTCTTAGAATTTACCTTAGCACCAGATGACTTGGGTGACTAAACAATTTAATCAATGCATTTATGTGTCGAACTGACCAGATATGAGACTAAATTTACTAGGTTTGACATTCCACATACACCACCTTAGATTCTTTTAACACATGATGACTTAAAAAATGTTTGGCCATTTCTGTTAAAAATGAAGAGTAACATTTGATGCAGCCATGATAACAGCAAAAATCTGTTCTGTTCTAAAAATGTTTCTAGCAATGAAAATATTTCTGGCTGAAAGAATACTCTTGACTTGCAGGGAGGTGCTCTTAAAATAAGAGTATGCATTTATTTTTTTA